GAGGCTGGGGGGTTAGAGGGAGGCTAGAGGGAGGCTGGGGGGTTAGAGGGAGGCTGGGGGGTTAGAGGGAGGCTGGGGGGTTAGAGGGAGGCTGGGGGGTTAGAGGGAGGCTGGGGGGTTAGAGGGAGGCTGGGGGGTTAGAGGGAGGCTGGGGGGTTAGAGGGAGGCTGGGGGGTTAGAGGGAGGCTGGGGGGTTAGAGGGAGGCTGGGGGGTTAGAGGGAGGCTGGGGGGTTAGAGGGAGGGGGGTTAGAGGGAGGCTGGGGGGTTAGAGGGAGGCTGGGGGGTTAGAGGGAGGCTGGGGGGTTAGAGGGAGGCTGGGGGGTTAGAGGGAGGCTGGGGGGTTAGAGGGAGGCTGGGGGGTTAGAGGGAGGCTGGGGGGTTAGAGGGAGGCTGGGGGGTTAGAGGGAGGCTGGGGGGTTAGAGGGAGGCTGGGGGGTTAGAGGGAGGCTGGGGGGTTAGAGGGAGGCTGGGGGGTTAGAGGGAGGCTGGGGGGTTAGAGGAAGGCTGGGGGGTTAGAGGGAGGCTGGGGGGTTAGAGGGAGGCTGGGGGGTTAGAGGGAGGCTGGGGGGTTAGAGGGAGGCTGGGGGGTTAGAGGGAGGCTGGGGGGTTAGAGGGAGGCTGGGGGGTTAGAGGGAGGCTGGGGGGTTAGAGGGAGGCTGGGGGGTTAGAGGGAGGCTGGGGGGTTAGAGGGAGGCTGGGGGGTTAGAGGGAGGCTGGGGGGTTAGAGGGAGGCTGGGGGTTAGAGGGAGGCTGGGGGGTTAGAGGGAGGCTGGGGGGTTAGAGGGAGGCTGGGGGTTAGAGGGAGGCTGGGGGGTTAGAGGGAGGCTGGGGGGTTAGAGGGAGGCTGGGGGCTTAGAGGGAGGGGGGGTTAGAGGGAGGCTGGGGGGTTAGAGGGAGGCTGGGGGGTTAGAGGGAGGCTGGGGGGTTAGAGGGAGGCTGGGGGGTTAGAGGGAGGCTGGGGGGTTAGAGGGAGGCTGGGGGGTTAGAGGGAGGCTGGGGGGTTAGAGGGAGGCTGGGGGGTTAGAGGGAGGCTGGGGGGTTAGAGGGAGGCTGGGGGTTAGAGGGAGGCTGGGGGGTTAGAGGGAGGCTGGGGGGTTAGAGGGGGCTGGGGGGTTAGAGGGAGGCTGGGGGGTTAGAGGGAGGCTGGGGGGTTAGAGGGAGGCTGGGGGGTTAGAGGGAGGCTGGGGGGTTAGAGGGAGGCTGGGGGGGGGGGTTAGAGGGAGGCTGGGGGGTTAGAGGGAGGCTGGGGGGTTAGAGGGAGGCTAGAGGGTTAGAGGGAGGCTGGGGGGTTAGAGGGAGGCTGGGGGGTTAGAGGGAGGCTGGGGGGTTAGAGGGAGGCTGGGGGTTAGAGGGAGGCTGGGGGTTAGAGGGAGGCTGGGGGGTTAGAGGGAGGCTGGGGGGTTAGAGGGAGGCTGGGGGGCTAGAGGGAGGCTAGAGGGTTAGAGGGAGGCTGGGGGGTTAGCGGGATGCTGGGGGGTTAGAGGGAGGCTGGGGGGTTAGAGGGAGGCTGGGGGGTTAGAGGGAGGCTGGGGGGTTAGAGGGAGGCTGGGGGGTTAGAGGCTGGGGGGGAGGCTGGGGGGTTAGAGGGAGGCTGGGGGGTTAGAGGAAGGCTGGGGGGTTAGAGGGAGGCTAGGGGGTTAGAGGGAGGCTGGGGGGTTAGAGGGAGGCTGGGGGGTTAGAGGGAGGAGGGAGGCTGGGGGGTTAGAGGGAGGCTGGGGGGTTGGGGGGTTAGAGGGAGGCTGGGGGGTTAGAGGGAGGCTGGGGGGTTAGAGGGAGGCTGGGGGGTTAGAGGGAGGCTGGGGGGTTAGAGGGAGGCTGGGGGGTTAGAGGGAGGCTGGGGGGTTAGAGGGAGGCTGGGGGGTTAGAGGGAGGCTGGGGGGTTAGAGGGAGGCTGGGGGGTTAGAGGGAGGCTGGGGGGTTAGAGGGAGGCTGGGGGGTTAGAGGGAGGCTGGGGGGTTAGAGGGAGGCTGGGGGGTTAGAGAGAGGCTGGGGGGTTAGAGGAAGGCTGGGGGGTTAGAGGGAGGCTGGGGGGTTAGAGGGAGGCTGGGGGGTTAGAGGAAGGCTGGGGGGTTAGAGGGAGGCTGGGGGGTTAGAGGGAGGCTGGGGGGTTAGAGGAAGGCTGGGGGGTTAGAGGGAGGCTGGGAGGTTAGAGGGAGGCTGGGGGGTTAGAGGAAGGCTGGGGGGTTAGAGGGAGGCTGGGGGGTTAGAGGGAGGCTGGGGGTTAGAGGAAGGCTGGGGGGTTAGAGGGAGGCTGGGAGGTTAGAGGGAGGCTGGGGGGTTAGAGGAAGGCTGGGGGGTTAGAGGGAGGCTGGGGGGTTAGAGGGAGGCTGGGGGGTTAGAGGGAGGCTGGGGGGTTAGAGGAAGGCTGGGGGTTAGAGGGAGGCTGGGGGGTTAGAGGGAGGCTGGGGGGTTAGAGGAAGGCTGGGGGGTTAGAGGGAGGCTGGGGGGTTAGAGGGAGGCTGGGGGGTTAGAGGAAGGCTGGGGGGTTAGAGGGAGGCTGGGGGGTTAGAGGGAGGCTGGGGGGTTAGAGGGGGTGGGGGGTTAGAGGAAGGCTGGGGGGTTAGAGGGAGGCTGGGGGGTTAGAGGGAGGCTGGGGGGTTAGAGGAAGGCTGGGGGTTAGAGGGAGGCTGGGGGGTTAGAGGGAGGCTGGGGGGTTAGAGGGAGGCTGGGGGGTTAGAGGGAGGCTGGGGGGTTAGAGGGAGGCTGGGGGGTTAGAGGGAGGCTGGTAGATAAATGGAGGCTGGGGGGTTAGAGGGAGGCTGGGGGGTTAGAGGGAGGCTGGGGGGTTAGAGGGAGGCTGGGGGGTTAGAGGGAGGCTGGAGGGTTAGAGGGAGGCTAGAGGGTTAGAGGGAGGCTGGGGGGTTAGAGGGAGGCTGGGGGGTTAGAGGGAGGCTGGGGGGTTAGAGGGAGGCTGGAGGGTTAGAGGGAGGCTGGGGGTTAGAGGGAGGCTAGAGGGTTAGAGGGAGGCTAGAGGGTTAGAGGGAGGCTGGGGGGTTAGAGGGAGGCTGGGGGGTTAGAGGGAGGCTGGGGGGTTAGAGGGAGGCTGGGGGGTTAGAGGGAGGCTAGAGGGTTAGAGGGAGGCTGGGGGGTTAGAGGGAGGCTAGAGGGTTAGAGGGAGGCTGGGGGGTTAGAGGGAGGCTAGAGGGTTAGAGGGTGGCTAGAGGGTTAGAGGGAGGCTGGGGGGTTAGAGGGAGGCTGGGGGGTTAGAGGGAGGCTGGAGGGTTAGAGGGAGGCTGGGGGTTAGAGGGAGGCTAGAGGGTTAGAGGGAGGCTAGAGGGTTAGAGGGAGGCTAGAGGGTTAGAGGGAGGCTGGGGGGTTAGAGGGAGGCTGGGGGGTTAGAGGGAGGCTGAGGGGTTAGCGGGAGGCTGGGGGGTTAGAGGGAGGCTGGAGGGTTAGAGGGAGGCTGGGGGGTTAGAGGGAGGCTGGGGGGTTAGAGGGAGGCTGGGGGGTTAGAGGGAGGCTGGGGGGTTAGAGGGAGGCTGGGGGGTTAGAGGGAGGCTGGGGGGTTAGAGGGAGGCTGGTGGCGTCTGTCGCCCTCACCCTCACCAGTTTGGTTGTGTGCACTGCAACCCGTCACTGCAACCCGTCACTGTAACCCGTCACTGTAACCCGTCACTGTAACCCGTCACTGTAACCCGTCACTGTAACCCGTCACTGTAACCTGTCACTGTAACCCGTCACTGTAACCCGTCAATGTAACCTGTCACTGTAACCCGTCACTGTAACCCGTCACTGTAACCCGTCACTGTAACCTGTCACTGTAACCCGTCACTGTAACCTGTCACTGTAACCCGTCACTGTAACCTGTCACTCTAACCCGTCACTGTAACCTGTCACTGTAACCCGTCACTGTAACCTGTCACTGTAACCTGTCACTGTAACCCGTCACTGTAACCTGTCACTGTAACCCGTCACTGTAACCTGTCACTGTAACCCGTCACTGTAACCTGTCACTGTAACCTGTCACTGTAACCCGTCACTGTAACCTGTCACTGTAACCCGTCACTGTAACCTGTCACTGTAACCCGTCACTGTAACCCGTCACTGTAACCCGTCACTGTAACCCGTCACTGTAACCCGTCACTGTAACCCGTCACTGTAACCTGTCACTGTAACCCGTCACTGTAACTCGTTACTGCAACCCGTCACTGTAACCTGTCACTGAAACCCGTCACTGCAACCTGTCACTACAACCTGTCACTGTAACCCGTCACTGTAACCTGTCACTGTAACCCGTCACTGTAACCTGTCACTGTAACCCGTCACTGTAACCCGTCACTGTAACCCGTCACTGCAACCCGTCACTGTAACCCGTCACTGTAACCTGTCACTACAACCTGTCACTGTAACCCGTCACTGTAACCCGTCACTACAACCTGTCACTACAACCTATCACTGCAACCTGTCACTACAACCTGTCACTACAACCTGTCACTGCAACCTGTCACTACAACCTGTCACTGCAACCTGTCACTACAACCTATCACTGCAACCTATCACTGCAACCTGTCACTACAAACTGTCACTACAACCTGTCACTGCAACCTGTCACTGCAACCTGTCACTACAACCTATCACTGCAACCTGTCACTGCAACCTGTCACTACAACCTGTCACTGCACATAGGAATAATCTTTTCTCCCGAATCACACTGTTGCTATTTGGAAAGTTTAAAAAGGTAGTGAATATGCGTTAATGTGTCACCTATTTAAGTATATCTAACTCCTCATGATTCCTCTTTCAATGAAAATAGTTATTTAGTCTAATCCGCATTAACTCTTATATATTCATATTTTAAACATTTCTGAGGTTTTGTGTCGGTGGGAAAAGTTTCTGGACGTTGCCACAGCTACACTGATACACGACGGTCGTCTTGTGAAGGTTATCATGGGGAAATACAAATGTTATCGTCTGCTGTATATAATTCTTTGGCCAATAATGGTCACAAATGGTCTTGTTGATATGTTACTCTTATTTACTGCATCATTTCTCTCCTCAGGGTGGGGACAATATGGAGCTGAAGCTGGATATTCCTAGAGAGTCCTTCCATGGCTACTCGGCTCAGATCACACACAGTCTGCAGTCTGCAGCAGATGAAAGCGCTGACGACACTGACACAGTCAGCGCTGATGATGACAGCAGTGCTGAGGGTGACGTCCAGTGCTCAGATGAAGACGATGTCACACTTGGACTTGTGGAAGGCGTGGGCGAGGAGCAGCTGGAGGCTGGTGCCCCACGCTCCAGCAGGAGGAGTGTCTGCAACAGTGCTCTTGAAGCCATGCTGGGTATTAAGTACCAAGCAGACACAGAGTGGACGCGAAGCAAGCACGTCGCGGTAATAAGGACGCGAAGCTTCCTTCGCAAGAGTGAGAGAGACATCACTGGATACAAAATGGGTTTCTCGTGGAAAAATCCAGGTAAGCACACATTATGCTACCGTTTATTAATATGTATTTCAGGTAGATTACAGCTATTGTTTGGAGATGTAATCATTATATGTAGAAAATATATTCTATTACGTAGTTGTTAGGTATTTGATAGATATTACTTTAAGGATTAGGCCTAGCTAGCAGACGTGTCTTGCCCTAGAGTCGATTAATTACTATTTGTATTATTGATGGCAATATTTATTTTTCACAATAAAGAATTATCTTGTCATTAACTTTATAAATTTGTTTCTATTTCACAAATATAAATTTCACGTTTAAAGATGTTAGTTTGTACAGCTTTACTTTGTTTCCACACCTCTTAGGTGTTAATTCCATGTTTCTGGACGTGCATGTTGAGGTTGAAGGGTCCAGCGTGGAGAAGAAGGCCGGCCTCATCTTCGGACTTACCTACAGTCCACACTTCACCTTCAAGCTTCAACTACTCAGCCAGAAATTCTCGGCCTTTGCAGAAAGTGAGAATGAATCGCTATTCGTTAAATTGGTGAATCGCTTCACCAATTTAGGTGAAGCTGACCCAAGTGTCTTGCCTCCAACTGCACAGATAAAGAAACAGACATTCTTTCTTTAAGTATAGATATATTTACTTGCGGGGTAGGCAGCGTTGTTCAGGTCTGTCTCCGTCTGTCTGTTGATAAATGTTGATAAATGTAGCCGGCGGGCAGTGCCAAAAATCGTCGAGGAGGTCAAAATGTGGTCCAGGCGTGCTACACTGCTTACTGTTGAATTCTAGCGTACCAATCATCCTATGTCCATCCCGTACCCCAGACCTTTTCCATTGCAATTTTTGGGGGCTTGGAGTGGGGGATAACCCCAGGCGTCTGGCTTCCCACTCTGGACACAGAAACTGACAAACAAATAGACATTCTCTCTTATAGCATGGATATATTGAAGTATTTGGCTGTCCGAGGCTAGAAACAAGATGATTAACATGGGGAGAAGAGGGGATAATTGGGAAATAGAGGTGAGAGGGGGTAGGTTTGGGGAGAAGGGGAAAGACAGAAGGGAAGAGAGGGGGAAGAGACATATTATCCTGGGCACTGCTGGGTAACCCTTCTGGTGGACGTATATAGTAGGGAGATTGACGCCGAAGAGGGTCCCTTCTATCAGCGGAGATGGATGATTGAGGGACGAGTGTGAATAATCGAGTGTTAAGCACGAATGTGCACGCAAGCGCGACCCAGGTGTGGTTTCCAGTTACCCCTCCCCCTCTTGATGCGAGATTATGTGAGGGTTAACTAATATATTTTTAGAAACTCTAGCTCTTGGATCCTGTCTTACTTGTTTAAACAGCTGTATTTTGTACGTAGTAAACTCCTATTCTTTCTTGACCAGACCACACACTAGAAGGTGAAAGGACGACGACTTTTTGCTCCATCCTGGACCATTCTCAAGTCGATTGTGATCGATTTGAGAATGGTCCAGGATGGACTAAAACGTCGTTGTCCCCTCACCTTCTAGTGTGTGGTCTGGTCAACATACTTCATCCACGTTACTGTGACTCATCGCCTCCTATTCTGTCTAGTGTATGGATTCGTAGATATATGATTAGGATAACCTTCCAGGATGATTTTGCCTCTCGTCACAGTATTAGTGTTTTATGTCTTATTTATCTAGCTAAGTCGACTTTAAGCAGTGCATCATACATACCGTTATTCAATTTCATATCATATAGTCCATCAAAGGTCTTTTACATCTAAGTTGACTCATTTTGCCCCTCTTAGTCTTACTTATGTCTTATCAATATTACTTGTTCGATCAATCCGGGCTTCTAACTCAGCTATTTAAGCTTTGTGTTTTGTGTTTAATCTCAAATTTGTGGTAATTAAAATTTTCTCTATTTTTGGGAGTGTCAAGACCCCTGGAGAGGAGGTGAGACCGGAGTATTGGATGGTCAGATTAGCGGGAGGGTGAGAGCTTGTGCTTGGCGGGTAGGGAGTGTGACGCAAGACTGGATGACCAGGAATGTGGGTGAGCAGGAGGATGAGACCAGGTCCAAGTGTGGATGAGTGACAGTACTCACTTATCAGTACCTGCCTATCATTGCAGATGAGGCATTCTCAAGCACACTTTCCTAATGGACCATACCTTTTCCACACATTTTCTCAAGATGTATCATTATCCCCCCCCCTTTCAATTTACCTTGTTCAATATTTCATCCCTGATAATAAAATATAGTTCTCTACTGTGTCTTCATTCCCATACTCGATACTGGGGGTAACAGACAAACTTCACTCACGAGATGACAGTAAGGAATTCAAATACATACTTGAACAATATCATATCTCATTTCTCTTTATCATTGTACTTCATCTTTCATATAATATATTCGTATGTAGTAACCAACCAAGAAAGTGGTAGAGGGATTGCTTTGCATTATATCTTATTCAACATCAAACTATAACATAACTTTGCAGGTTCAAAAACAAATTAACTCTATCATTCATGCTACATCTAGCAAATCTCAGTCATTCTATTTCACAACTAAACTCTTAATGTATCAAAGTTAATGACTAGCGATACTTGGAGTATATTTTTTTCCAAACTAAACATAATGCGTATACTCAACCCTCGACCAGATATTCCCAAATTCCCTGAGTATTACGGGGTGTGTGTGTGTACCTTGTGCCAGTAAACGTGTGTAAGCGTGTATCAGCGTGCATGAACACGCGTGATAGTGTGAGAGCTATATCTTGTATTTTTTTGTCCGTCTCGCATTAGTTTTTGAGCATATCGATTATACTAGAGCAGTCTATATTGTATTGTATCTTCCATTCCTAAGTATCAAGTTTCAACTATTACTAGATTGTCTCTAATTTCCATAGCTATAGGTGCAATGTGTTTATGGTGACTATGTATCACCCATTCCAATTCACAACTATTTTCAGATAAAGTTGAAAATAGTCCTTATAGGAGAGGTAAGGGGGGCAACAGCATATTAAAACGATTTAAGTCTCCTTTAAGCAGTTCAACACACCAAACAGTTTTTCTGTTTCATATCATTGCTCCATCAAATATAGTTTGTATCTACCCCAATCTAATGTGTGCACCTTCTGTACTACCGATTCTACTGTATCATTCAACTGTGCCTTTCAACTCAACTATTTTAAACTTCAAGTTAATGTGTTTGCTCTCCAATATGTAGTAATTAAAAATTCCCCCCTCTAGCCTTTTATTAAGTTAAACTTTTACCAAGCCAGTCATTTCCACTACCATTTAAGCAATACTGTAAACAGTTTCAACACATCTGTTTCAAAGCATTGCTCTCACCAGACTGACATAGTTTTTTGCAGTGACATTTTTTGCAGAGTTTGTTTTTTGTTGCAGAATGACTTTGTTTTTTCAAAGTACCTTAGTTTTCAGAATGACAAGTTTTGTTACACACAGAAATCACAATAGCGTAATGTATCAAATGAACAAATTCACAAGGGCTGTGACAAGGATTCGAACATAGGTTCGAATCTCGGACGTAAGTTCGATCTCGGACATAGGTTCATATCCTCTTCATGGCCCTTGTGGATTTGTTCATTTGACAAGTTTTATTGTTGTTTCTTCCTTTCAGTAACTAGTGCATTGTTACATATTATCAACAGCATTACTGTTTGTCATCAAATTAATTTTCAGTTAGTTTAAATTATATATTGTAGTTAGTTTAAATTATATATTTTAGTTAGTTTAAATTATATTTTTTAGTTTAAATTATATATTTTAGTTAGTTTAAATTATATTTTAGTTAGTTTAAACTATATTTTAGTTAGTTTAAACTATATTTTAGTTAGTTACAAAGTATTTTATTTATCTATTCACCGAAGTTTAATTGTGAAATTACGCCACTGTATTTCTGCTTATCAACTCATTATTTCATGCCATCATGTTCGCAATCTACAAATGAACGCTTTGTGCAGTTACATATTTACTAAGACAATCTTTTCTCTTAACTAACTAAATGTTTTTAACTAACATTTCACTTTCCACTACTGAAAATAGTTAAGTAATTAATCTTTGCATCACTTCTTAATTAAAATACCTCTCCGAATCATCTTTGCACATTGAATATGGCTCTCATGTCATCTTTATTCTCCAATGACACACTCAAACTCATCAAAATACTATTCATATCATCAAAAGTTATTCGCATAGACATTAAAAAGAATACACACAAAGTCAACAAAAATACTATTCACACCATCAAAAGCAAACATCAAGTCATCAAACATAATTTTAAAGACCAAGAAGTCTCTCACTGTGTTGTGTTTACTTATGAAAGATACTCTCTACCATCTTCGTGCATTTAAAGGTTCTCTCTAAATCAGCATTAACACCTTCCAAGATCCTTTAATTAACATTTGTACTTTCTAAGTCATCTTTATGCTTCAAATGTTTCTCACATCTCATATTCATGCATCTAAAGAATCCCTCCAAGACTATTATAGTACTATCTGATATGATTTCACTATCAACATTGCACTCTTTAACGCAAGTTTAAAAACATAATTTACTCTTTTGATGATCTTTGTGCGTTAAATAAACTCCCAATGTTACAAATGTAGTTTATCATTCAATAAATGAAAAGTCAATTATTCTTTTTTCCTATTTTAAACGTACCATTGTTTTTATGTAATAATAAAACTTACTAAGATGGGACCCCAACCACTTGGGTTGGACGGTAGAGCGACGGTCTCACTTCATGCAGGTCGGCGTTCAATCCCCGACCGTCCAATTGGTTGGGCACCATTCGTTCCCCACGTCCCATCCCAAATCCTTATCCTGACCCCTTCCCAGTGCTAATACAGCCATAATGGATTGGCGCTTTCCCCTGAAAATTCCCTTCCCTTACTAAGATGGGTCATTATCTAATCACAATCAACTTTAAGTATTATATAAAACTAAACATGTATACTTTATGGAGTAATAAACTTATGCATCATGAGTAAATGAGCAAAAACTTTCTATCAACTCAATACAAGGATACTAAGACCAGCATGTTATCGGTGTTTTACACCTCTCTTCATAATATCACTTTCACAAAACCATATATTTTTATTTGTACACTACCCACCTAGCGTTTAATGTACATCTTAGCTTATCACACCACACAGAACATTTACTTATTTTATACTTTCTCATTATTTTCAAATAATTTATAGGAAAGTTTATTTTACAACATCTAGTGTTTACGTACTCTCTTTTTTTACATTTAACACTTATCACATGTATATATGTTTTATTCAGGTGATTTATGTTTATCTGTGTTTCATATACATTTTGTTTCATTTTTAACGGATATTTGTTATATATGAGTGTTTATGCATTTCCATGGGTATTTTTTAAAAATAAAATGTTTTAATCATTTCAACGGATATTTGTTATATATGGGTATTTATTCATTTCAAAGGATAATTGCTCAAATGTGAGTTTATGCATTTGAAGGGGTATTTGTTAAAGATGAGGTGTTTAAGGGGTAACGCACACGCCTTCACGCTTGGCGTGCAATTAATCATGCTCATCCATCAGTCATCCCTGAATCATCCATCTCCGCCGATGGAGGGGACCCTCTACGGCGTCAATCACACTACTATATATCAGTTCTTCATGTGAATAAGCTTGCCACTCATCAGCCAGAACTTGCCACGTAGTGGATTCTGTCACCTGTTATATACATGATGTTTATACTGTTTCTTACGAGTAATAATAATAGTAGATTACTGTCTTTGTTTCTTTGCATACTGTGCCCTGCCACACTAACGTTGCCCTGCTCTCTTCGCAGCCTCGGTTGTCAACGACCCTAACCTCAAGCGTATAGAGGGCCACATAGGCCTGGGCAGCATGGTGTACGGGGTCAAGGCCGAGCTGTTGATGGTGACGGACGGCGGCCATGTGAGTCGTCAAGCGCACGGTCTCAACACATTACACCACCTCATACTCATACTGTGTATGAGTATGAGGTGGTGTAATGTTAATATTAATTTAACATATTAATTTTGTTAATTTACTATTGCATATTTATTTACATATACAGTTTGACTGTGGGAATAATAATAATAATGACATTTGAACGTGGGCCACATGACCCTACAACTCTCACACCTGGAGAAACTCTCACACCTGGAGAAACTCACACACCTGGAGAAACTCACACACCTGGAGAAACTCACACACCTGGAGAAACTCACACACCTGGAGAAACTCACACACCTGGAGAAACTCACACACCTGGAGAAACTCACACAACTGGAGAAACTCACACATATGGAGAAACTCACACATATGGAGAAACTCACACACCTGGAGAAACTCTCACACCTGGGGAAGCTAATAGGATAACTTACACCGTGCAGGTGAGCGTGAAGCCTCGCCTGGTGGTAGCCTACCCGGGGCAGCAGGAGGACGCCTTACTAGAGGGTTATGTTGCCCGCTACTTCTCCGACAAGGTCACCAGTGTCACCCTTGACCTCTTCTCTGAAGGAACACTCAAGGAATACCTTGATGTTGCTCTCAAAGGTCAGTATGTTGCACGAAGTTGTTACATTTCATTGTTACCTTATGAATTGTGAATTGTTCTTGTGTTGGAGTTAGCAGCGTCCTCTGTCGTCCTCAAGACTAGCACTACCACAACAACGAGGTTACGTTACTTTACTCTCTTCCTGTGGCACGATAGATACAGCTAATTCAACAGCCTAGTATAACCACGGAATCTTATCCGTAATCGCGGGCCGAATAATGACACTAACTAAACAGAAGTATGCCCTCTGATGACACAAGCTTCTTCCCAATATTTTCTCACATTTCTCCCTGCAAGATAAATACTATAATCACAATTTGCTCTGACACTCGCAGCCCTTTCTGTGAGATAACAAGAGTAACTAGGTGGGTGATTCATCACTAATAACCCCACTATCAAGTTTTACATTAACACTTATTTCTCAAGACACAAACAACAATAGTAAAGTACATTACTTGAATTCAATAACAACTACGTTAATTGAATGTCCACAGCAGTCAGCAACAATTCAATTACGTTAACAATCGTTTACGTTTAATTACGTTTTCATATGCACCAATCACAGACAAGCATTTCCAGGTGCCTGGTGCCTCGACGAATCCCGACTCGCCTCGAGGCAGCACAATCTACTACAACATGGCACAAGTGGGCTGGTTGTGGGAGGATCGGCTCACGACCGATGACCCTCCAACCCCCGCCCCCCCCCCGCCCTCTTCTTTTACACTTGTTAAAAAATTAACATGAATTAATTTTTTTGCTACAGCTTCCCTTACAGACATGCCACAGCGACCACTTTATCTTTGCTGGAAACCTCTTGTCAAGGGCTGCCCGTAGACACCTATCATGACTGTCGAGGTTGAGTACATCTCAAACTTGTGCCCCGTGAACACCCCTGAGCATGGGTCTCTCCTCTCATGTGCACACTCACATCAGTGCACAAGGGAGCTGGAAAGTCCACCTTCTGACACAGATAACTAACACCACACTAGCAGCGTGCCCCGTCCTCCAGCAGGTGACTAACACCACACTAGCAGCGTGCCCCGTCCTCCAGCAGGTGACTAACACCACACTAGCAGCGTGCCCCGTCCTCCAGCAGGTGACTAACACCACACTAGCAGCGTGCCCCGTCCTCCAGCAGGTGACTAACACCACACTAGCAGCGTGCCCCGTCCTCCAGCAGGTGACTAACACCACACTAGCAGCATGCCCCGTCCACCAGCAGGTGACTAACATCACACTAGCAGCGTGCCCCGTCCACCAGCAGGTGACTAACACCACACTAGCAGCGTGCCCCGTCCTCCAGCAGGTGACTAACACCACACTAGCAGCGTGCCCCGTCCACCAGCAGGTGACTAACACCACACTAGCAGCGTGCCCCGTCCTCCAGCAGGTGACTAACACCACACTAGCAGCGTGCCCCGTCCACCAGCACGTGACTAACACCACACTAGCAGCGTGCCCCGTCCTCCAGCAGGTGACTAACACCACACTAGCAGCGTGCCCCGTCCACCAGCACGTGACTAACACCACACTAGCAGCGTGCCCCGTCCACCAGCAGGTGACTAACACCACACTAGCAGCGTGCCCCGTCCACCAGCAGGTGACTAACACCACACTAGCAGCGTGCCCCGTCCTCCAGCAGGTGACTAACACCACACTAGCAGCGTGCCCCGTCCTCCAGCAGGTGACTAACACCACACTAGCAGCGTGCCCCGTCCTCCAGCAGGTGACTAACACCACACTAGCAGCGTGCCCCGTCCTCCAGCAGGTGACTAACACCACACTAGCAGCGTGCCCCGTCCACCAGCAGGTGACTAACACCACACTAGCAGCGTGCCCCGCCCACCAGCAGGTGACTAACACCACAATAGCAGCGTGCCCCGTCCACCAGCAGGTGACTAACACCACACTAGCAGCGTGCCCCGTCCACCAGCAGGTGACTAATACCACACTAGCAGCGTGCCCCGCCCACCAGCAGGTGACTAACACCACAATAGCAGCGTGCCCCGTCCTCCAGCAGGTGACTAACACCACACTAGCAGCGTGCCCCGTCCACCAGCAGGTGACTAACACCACACTAGCAGCGTCCCCCGCCCACCAGCAGGTGACTAACACCACAATAGCAGCGTGCCCCGTCCACCAGCAGGTGACTAACACCACACTAGCAGCGTGCCCCGCCCACCAGCAGGTAATACCGTGTCCTCTGGTCCTACCGTGTCTTCAGGTCCTACCTTGTCCTCTGGTCCTACCGTGTCCTCTGGTCCTACCGTGTCCTCTGGTCATACCGTGTTCTCTGGTCCTACAGTGTCCTCTGGTCCTATCGTGTCCTCAGGTCCTACCGTGTTCTTAGGTCCTACCTTGTCCTCAGGTCCTACCGTGTCGTCAGGTCCTACTGTGTCCTCAGGTCCTACCGTGTCTTCTGGTCCTACCGTGTCTTCTGGTCCTACCGTGTCCTCTGGTCCTACCGTGTCCTCTGGTCTTATCGTGTCCTCTGGTCCTACCATGTCCTCTGGTCCTACTGTGTCCTCTGGTCCTACTGTGTCCTCTGGTCTTATCGTGTCCTCTGGTCCTACCATGTCCTCTGGTCCTACTGTGTCCTCAGGTCCTACCGTGTCCTCTGGTCTTATCGTGTCCTCTGGTCCTACCATGTCCTCTTGTCCTACCATGTCCTCTAGTCCTATCGTGTCCTCTGGTCCTACCATGTCCTCTGGTCCTACCGTGTCCTCTGGTCCTACCGTGTCCTCTGGTCCTACCGTGTACTCTGGTCCAATCGTGTCCTCTGGTCCTACCATGTCCTCTGGTCCTACCGTGTCTTCTGGTCCTACCGTGTCCTCTGGTCCTACCGTGTCCTCTAGTCCTATCGTGTCCTCTGGTCCTACAGTGTCCTCTGGTCCTACCATGTCCTCTGGTCCTACCATGTCCTCTGGTCCTACCATGTCCTCTGGACCTACCGTGTCCTCTGGTCCTACCATGTCCTCTGGTCCTACCGTGTCCTCTGGTCCTACCGTGTCCTCTGGTCCTACCGTGTCCTCTGGTCCTACCGTGTCCTCTGGTCCTACCATGTCCTCTGGTCCTATCGTGTCCTCTGGTCCTACCATGTCCTCTGGTCCTATCGTGTCCTCTAGTCCTACCGTGTCCTCTGGTCCTACCGTGTCCTCTGGTCCTACCGTGTCCTCTGGTCCTACCATGTCCTCTGGTCCTATCGTGTCCTCTAGTCCTACCGTGTCCTCTGGTCCTACCGTGTCCTCCGGTCCTACCGTGTCCTCTGGTCCTACCGTGTCCTCTGGTCCTACCATGTTCTCTGGTCCTACCGTGTCCTCTGGTCCAACCATGTCCTCTGGTCCTATCGTGTCCTCTGGTCCTACCATGTCCTCTGGTCCTACCGTGTCTTCTGGTCCTACCGTGTCCTCTGGTCCTACCGTGTCCTCTAGTCCTATCGTGTCCTCTGGTCCTACAGTGTCCTCTGGTCCTACCATGTCCTCTGGTCCTACCATGTCCTCTGGTCCTACCATGTCCTCTGGTCCTACCGTGTCCTCTGGTCCTACCATGTCCTCTGGTCCTACCGTGTCCTCTGGTCCTACCGTGTCCTCTGGTCCTACCGTGTCCTCTGGTCCTACCGTGTCCTCTGGTCCTATCGTGTCCTCTGGTCCTACCGTTTCCTCTGGTCCTACCGTGTCCTCTGGTCCTATCGTGTCCTCTGGTCCTACAGTGTCCTCTGGTCCTACCGTGTCCTCTGGTCCTACCGTGTCCTCTGGTCCTACCATGTCCTCTGGTCCTACCGTGTCCTCTGGTCCAACCATGTCCTCTGGTCCTATCGTGTCCTCTGGTCCTACCATGTCCTCTGGTCCTACCGTGTCCTCTGGTCCTACCATGTCCTCTGGTCCTATCGTGTCCTCTAGTCCTACCGTGTCCTCTGGTCCTACCGTGTCCTCTGGTCCTACCGTGTCCTCTGGTCCTACCGTGTCCTCTGGTCCTACCATGTCCTCTGGTCCTACCGTGTCCTCTGGTCCTACCATGTCCTCTGGTCCTATCGTGTCCCCTGGTCCTACAGTGTCCTCTGGTCCTACCATGTCCTCTGGTCCTATCGTGTCCTCTGGTCCTATCGTGTCCTCTGGTCCTATCGTGTCCTCTAGTCCTACCGTGTCCTCTAGTCCTATCGTGTCCTCTGGTCCTACCATGTCCTCTGGTCCTACCATGTCCTCTAGTCCTACCGTGTCCTCTAGTCCTATCGTGTCCTCTGGTCCTACCGTGTCCTCTGGTCCTATCGTGTCCTCTGGTCCTACCATGTCCTCTGGTCCTACCGTGTCCTCTGGTCCTACCATGTCCTCTAGTCCTACCGTGTCCTCTAGTCCTATCGTGTCCTCTAGTCCTACCATGTCCTCTGGTCCTACCATGTCCTCTCTTCCTATCGTGTCCTCTAGTCCTATCGTGTCCTCTGGTCCTATCATGTCCTCTGGTCCTACCATGTCCTTTGGTCCTACCATGTCCTCTAGTCCTACCGTGTCCTCTGGTCCTACAGTGTCCTCTTGTCCTACCATGTCCTCTAGTCCTATCGTGTCCTCTGGTCCTACCATGTCCTCTGGTCCTACCGTGTCCTCTGGTCCTACCGTGTCCTCTGGTCCTACCGTGTCCTCTGGTCCTACCATGTCCTCTGGTCCTATCGTGTCCTCTGGTCCTACAGTGTCCTCTGGTCCTACCATGTCCTCTGGTCCTACCATGTCCTCTGGTCCTATCGTGTCCTCTGGTCCTACCGTGTCCTCTGGTCCTATCGTGTCCTCTGGTCCTACAGTGTCCTCTGGCCCTACCATGTCCTCTGGTCCTACCATGTCCTCTAGTCCTACCGTGTCCTCTGGTCCTATCGTGTCCTCTGGTCCTACCATGTCTTCTGGTCCTACCATGTCCTCTGGTCCTATCGTGTCCTCTGGTCATACCGTGTCCTCTGGTCCTACAGTGTCCTCTGGTCCTACCATGTCCTCTGGTCCTACCATGTCCTCTAGTC